ACTGGGCGAACTCCACCCTCTTCATTCCCGGATGGAGGGCTGCACCTCACGGTGGCTGCTCAGAGCACCGGCTGCTCACTGTTGGGTGAAGTCGTGAATGAGCGCTGGCACAGCCTCATATTTTCTTCACGGAGCTAGTGCTGCCAGAGTCTATTTCCTACAATATGACAAGGCTCCGAACCTCCTGGGAGATTCCCAATAGTAAATAGCATCTGTGGTGCTGAGATTCCCAAGTCTGGATTGGAAAAGCATCCCAAAAGGTAATGGCTAAATTCCTTCTCATCAAAGGGTTTTAACCTCAGGTTCATTGCTTGGCTTCGAGGCTAGGAGTCTCCTAAAATTACCGGCATCGTGTTTTGAGGCTATGCGTGCTCTGTGGGGAGAGTCCACTGCTAAGGACAGATTTCCTAACAGATTTCGTTTCTTCATTAAACAGTTGGAGCATTGGGGAATGTTAGGCGCCGGAGAGCTCTATCAGTGACACCTTTGCCCTCAGGCCACTTACATTCTGGGGCAGAAGGGAGACAATCAACATGAAATTCTAAGTGGCAAAAGTCTATTACAACCTTAGAAGGTTCTAAGTGTCCCAGAGAAAAATCACGCAAGGTTGTGTTGGGAACATCGGCTCAATGTTAGAGTGGTCTATCACTGAAAATAGGACATCTAAGGAAACACGAGGGGAACATGCTACACGGAGCAGGGGAGATTGGCCATCAGGCAGGGGGAGGAGCATGTGCAAAGGCCCTGGGCTCCCCGAGAACCCAAGGACTTGCTCTTCCGAGGTTTCTGTCTGACATAAAGCAAAGAGCAGGGGCTAAGAAAACACTACCATTTGTTTCTGGAAAAGTGGAAGGGGCTAGGATCTGAGAGCAAGTCTTTTTTTTTGTTTGACGAGTGTAGATTGGTTTGCTTGGCCAAAGCCACAGAGATAAGGACATCTCTAAAAATCATCATTCAGAACAGATCGTTCTTTTTTTGTTAAATACTTTTACTGGGGGCTCTTACATCTCTTCTCACAACCCACACATTCCTCCAGTGTGTCAAGCACATTTGCCGCCATCATCATTTTCAAAGAATTCTCCTCCCACTTGAGCCCCTGATGTCAGCTCCCCATTTCTTCCCCCACCCACCCTCCCTCCCTCCCTCCCAAACCCTCAATAAGTTTATAATTATTTTCATATCTTACATCGTCCTGTCACCCCTTTCCCACTTTTCTGTTGTTCATCCCCCGGGGAGGAGGTTCTAGGTTGATCCTTGTGATTGATTCTCCTTTTCTCCCCGTCCCCTCCCCTAATCCTCCTGGTATCTCTACTCTCCTTGTTGGCCCTGAGGGATTTATCTATCCCGGATTCCCTGTGTTGCAGGCTCTTACCTCAGAATGGCTATTTCTACAGGTAGATGAAAACACATACATTCTTAGCCCAATTCCAATAGTCATTTTGTCATCGGTCGTTTTTAATACATCAACAGCTCTCCACAGAAGAGCTAAGTAACTGTAAGCCCAAAAGACAATGGCCACATTGGGATTCTAGAGAAAGGTTGAGGGAGGCGTGGTGAAGATGGAAGAACGTGGGGAAAGGTCCAAGGGATAAATGGAAGCAATACAGAGGTCAGTGGCATTGGAGCTGAGGGGCGTCTGTAAACATCACACACCTGTCCCTGAACTCACAATAGAAATGAACGTTGTTCTGGCGCTTCAACAGTGCCTTGCCCAAAAGCTTCGCCAGGACACCTGCCTCTGCTTAAAGAGATTCATTGGTTCCCAGCTGTATTTGAGCCAATTACCTCTATAGCAGCAGTTCTCAACCTGTGGGTCACGACCCCTTTGGGGGGTCAAACGACCCTTTCACAGGGGTCGCCTGATTCATAACAGTAGCAAAATGACAGTTATGAAGTAGCAACGAAAATAATTTTATGGTTGGGGGGTGGTCACCACAACATGAGGAACGGTATGAAAGGGTCACGGCATGAAAAGGTTGAGAACCCCTGCTCTGGATTATGAATCCAGCCTACCTGTCACTTTTCACGATCCCCTTGTACAACTCCATGATCCACCCACACAGGACTTTCGATTGCTCACATTGACCCCACATCTGATCTCTTGCTTGCCTCTGTGCAGACTTCCCCTTAACTTTGAACATTGCTCTCCTATGTGGATTGGCTGAAATCTTCTCAATTTGAAACACAAGTTCAAATGCTTGTTCGCTGACTTGGCCTTCACGGTGCTTCCGGCAGCTTCATGCATCCAAGTGGCTAGTCATCAGATTGCAGCCAGGGTCACGGAGTCTAGATCACAGGTCTCAAGGACAGACGTTATCGCCCTCCCCCTCACTGCTGTGTTGTTTAGAGACTAGCTGAGTTTCATGCTGCTGAAAGAGGACCTGTGCTTTCTGATGGGGTTCCGGTAGCAGGAAGCGGTTGCATGCATGAATGAATTCTTTTGTTGATTGTGTTCACTGTAACCCATGAGGGGGCTTCAAAAAGGTTAAAGAAAAATTCTATTATGTTTTAATACCATTTCCCCGTGAATTTCTTGAAACTCCATCCCTCGAATTTGCCAAATTCCTTGCTTCAGTGGGCCTTAAGAACCATATAAAAGCTGAGTTTCTGCTGCTACAGGGAACCAAAGAGCCGAGACAACAGGTACAACTCATTTCGATTGTTCAAGAAAAAAACAAAATTTGCCTCTGAAATTATTGGGTCATTTCACTTATTTCAGGGCCTCATATTTTACCAGGTACTTTACAGTTTTGCAAAGTACTGTCATCTATATTGACTTTCAAACTTTGTCACATCACTGTAAAAACAAGCAAAACAAACAATTTGATCACAACCGAGGTCAAGTATTTATTGAACAACATGGCAAATCCTATTCTCCAACAGAACACCGTACTGAAGAGTTAAAAAATAACTAAAAAGCAAACACGTAGAAACAGAAGAATCGTGAAACAAAGCCACCTGACTATAGTGTGTTCTGATGTTTTCTTCTTTTTTAAAAATACTGGTCCCCCTCCTTAACAATTAACTTGGTTTCTCAACTCACTAATGGATTTAGAGCTACAATTTGCAAACTGCTGATGTAGACGTTTGCTAAGTAAGTAGAGTTGCTCTTCCTGTTTTTTGGGAAATAACAGCTTTATTGGGTATTATTTTACATTTTCATTAATATTTTTAAAGTTCTAACATATCAAACACAATGATTATTGTCTAATTGGCCTTCCTCTAAAGGGATGGACTCTTGGTCCTACAGTAAAAAGATGGTTAAGTCACACAGCCAATGATGCTTGGATCAAAGCAAAGAATATCTCAAGTAAAGATGCAGATGGAGAAGCAATATGGAAATTTTTTTTTTAAAAAATCATTTTATTGGGGGCTCATACAACTCATCACAATCCATCAGGTCAAGCACATTTGTGCATTTGTTGCCATCATCCTCCTCAAAACATTTGCTTTCCACTTGAGCCCTTGGTATCAGCTCCTTTTCCCCTCCCTCCCTTCCTGTTTTAGAGAGCGATATGCAAAGAGAGGCTGAGCTCCTTACCTGAAGGCACAATCGGAGGAAGCAATGGTTCCGTTTTCATCTCGGGTCTTTGACTCAAGTCCACCGTTGCCGTTTCCAGTCCTCGGTACCCCTCGTGCTTCAGTGCCCACTTCTCTGACGAGGAGATCTTGAGCTGGGCCGGGGCAGCTCTTCCCTCTCTTGGACGGGAAGTAAACTAGCACTCACACGTATGCCCATGCAGAAGTGCCCCAGGATGCCTCCCAGCGGCGGTAAAATGACGAGCGCCCTCGAGAGGGTTTCTCTCCACTGTGATGTCCTGCGGCCTCAGACATTTTCTTGCCCCAGCTTGGTGTTCTACACAGTAGGTTGTAATAACTACATGTGGAACTGAACTGAATTTAAGTGACTGAGAGCATGGGGCGAGAGCTGTGTGGACGTTACTTGGGGACAGAGCGGACTCATCAGGATTATAACCAGGATTTAGATGGCATCTGTTGGAAAGGCTAAGAGATTGGGAAAGATGCCATTGGGAGTGGGGGGGTAATCTTTACCTGGGTTACAAAAGTTACATTTTAGGTAGAAGTTTCCATAGTGTAAAAACAACACAATGCAGGAAGCTCTCTAGCATCAGTAGGTGGCTTTCGAAGCAGGCCACGTGGCAGAATCTCAGGACCGTGCAGGAAGGAAGACGAGAGCGAGCAAGATGAGGAGCCCCGGATGGTGTCTGATCGGGCCTGAGGAAGGAGGGGTGCTGGAGGGCACCTCGCTTAACGGGGAGCATTACACTGGGGGCAGTTTCCAAATGTAGAGAATCAGTTCAGGTTCTCAAGGACAAGAATCTAGGTGGATTTTCACCCTTGCTTCAACTAGTTTGGGTAGAATGGGGCTGTGTGGTTGGCAAATATCGAGGGAAGGAGGGGAGAGAAGAAACCGAAAAGAGAGGTGACCTTGGACTAAACACTGACTGAAACAGAAAGTATTATGTTTCAATTTTGTCCTACCACCAAAAAGTATGGGGACTCAGGGCAGTGAGATTAGTTTTGAAAAATTACACAAAATACTCTCAGCTGGGGTGAAATGTAAAACAATTTCAATCTTAAAGGTTTTTCTTATGTAGATTTTAAGCTAAGTGAGCTCTAAGTGTCAGTATCTCCTAAGACCTCGTTTTACAAATGCATTATGAAAATCTTATGTGAGATACGCTGCCCAGCTGCCCAATTCCCTAACCCGTGGTTTTCGAGCTTTATTTTAAACCAGACTCTAACTCTGTAGGACAAGAGCGTAATCCAGGCTCTGTGTATTTAAATGAGCAACCCATCACATGCTAGCAATGGTTCATGTTAAGAAACTTGGTTAACATAACTCCTCCTAACTTTTAGTAATTAAAAAGGGGTTCAACTTGCATAGTAAGCTTTTCATAAACTAAAATAAGATGGTACAGGCACACCATTTAGTAGCAACACTCAAAAAAAAGTGTACAGATTTTACAGCCACCCCATTTCTTACAATTGTTTTAATAGCACTTATCACATAGCTAATAGTGACATACAGTTACAAAAGATGTCTAAAAAGTGACTGGTGATTTAGTCTTCTATTGGGTTTTCTTCTAAAATTGAGAATAGGGGAACTACTTATGAGTGCACAAAGAATATTTTAAGATGAAATGTTTGACTATGAATTCAATAACTATACACATTAATCCATAATGTGGCTTAATTTTAAAGTCTAGTGATTGAAAAAGTTTTTAAAAGCACCCTCATTTCTTTAAAGTTAAGTACTGGATAGGATTCTCGACAGTCTGTTGTCCACATGAGGGGTGAGGGCGAGCTGATATGACTATTCGGTTCCAGGTCCGGTTGAAGGCTAAAAGCAAACTGCATTGCCAAAGGGCGGTGGAGTTCCAGGTAGCCCAGCACCTCCTTAGAGGACACTGCTTCCCATGCTCCGTCCCGAGGTGACCCTCTCCTTGGTGCTTTGCTCGCATGGACCTTTCTCTTAAAAAGGCAGAAAATATAAAAGTTCACCAAAATTCTGAAAGTCACAGCTTGGAAGCCCTGGACGATAGCAGCGTTGGCGTCTGAAACGACAAACGTTTCCGTCACTCTGGGTCAAGGCGAGGTAGGACCGGAAGAATAAGGTTCCCGAACGCGGAGTCTTGCGTGATGAAGTACCCAGATGAGTGTGCATGCGCGTGCTGCCGGGGTTCAAGACAAGAAGTGATTCAGCTAGGAAGAGTCACAATTTCCCACTAAGGCATTAACATGACTTATTCTAAGTGTTTGAAGCCCCCAGACCAGTTCTTGTGCTTCTAATTTTACACAAACACCCAGGAGATGAACAATAGTAAAGAATTCATACAAGTAAGGTGCTCGGGTCTCATTTACCATCCTCAACACGTCCCTGTTTCTCCTCAGTCGATACATAAGTTACAGACACAAACTGCTTTTGTTCTTTGGAGTGGTCTTACAAAGTAGCACCGTGGTCCCAAGGATTCCGTCCTTGACCAGCAAAGCAGAAGTTTCAGGAGGGGCAGAACTTGGGAAGGAGGGAACCCTGGTGGCGCGGTGCTCAGAGGGAGGAAGATAGTATACACGGACAGGCTCGGAGACTCCCTGTCCGAGCGGGTCACTGTGAGTCGGCACTGGCTAGATGACAAAGAGTTTGGTTTCTGTTTTTTAGTTGGGAAGGAAGGAGGCGAGAAGAGGCAGCTGACTACAAAACAAACCCAAACAAACACAAAACAACTCACTCCTACTGAGTCAATCTTGATTCACAGTGACCCTATGAGGCAAGGTAGAGGTAGAACGATTCCAGAGGTAGAACTATTCTGGTGGGATCCTGAGACTATAACTCTTGATGGAAGTACTGAAAGCCTCAACTTTCTCCCAAGGAGTGGCTGGCGGTTTCAAACTGCTGACCTTGCAATTAGAAGCCTAACACATAACGACTATGCCACCCAGACTCTTCAACTGATTGCTTTTTCTGTAGAGAATGTTGGATTGTAATTAGTAGAAAGCCCACTGGCTCCCCTCCGTCCTCAGGACAGAAAGATGGTCTTCAGTTGTCTGAGGTGAGATGACCTGCAAGGCTCCTCCCAAGCCTGAGATTCTGAGGTTTAGAAGCAAGGCCATATCCAAAATCAACATAAAAATTCATACTACTATGAAGGATAATATATTTTTAACTGATACATTAAAACCCTGTTCCTCTTTTACGAATAAGTCTTTAAACATTTCCTGCTAACCATTAAAAAGCAAAGGAATGCAAACAGCAATAATAAAACCAGTAAGACTGTCAATAAAACCAGTAAGGCCATAAACAAATGTAAAAGATGTACTATTAAACGAGCCAGGTCTATTTTAAGATCCTCTGTCCACCGAAAAGCCTACACTCGTTTGTGCCCGAGCAATCCCTTGGCAGGTAAGCCACAGAATCCACCACAACCGTGTCAACACCATGACAGATGCTTTCAGTACTGCTGCCTGTCAGTCCCGCAAACCCTGTGGGCGTGATGGGGCATCAGCAGACGCCACTGCAGTTATCAGAGGAACCTTCTCATTGGCATCACTCCACTGAGAGAGGAAAGCAGTAGCTAGCTCCCGGTGTCCAGAGCAGAAGAAGCTGCACTGACCTGCAAGGCGGCCTTCTGCTGGGCCGCAATGTGCTGCTGCTCGGCATGGTCCCGGAAATCCTTGTTCAGAGAGGGTCTCGAGAGCACGATGCTGAAACGGAAACCCTAGTGACTGGCTGGTTAAGGCAGACTTCCTTACTTCCATTTAGAGTTTGCGTCGCGCAGTCTACGCAGGGTCAGAATGAACTCCTAGAGTAAGCTGCTTTTCCCCCCTTCATGTCCCACACAACATGCATGGCGAAAGCTGATGTTATTTTCTGGGAGTTCAAGTTATATTTTTACTTATATTTATCATTCCTATGTTTTCAAACAGATTTGCAAAGCTACAGCCTATAATGAACCTGTACAGCCAGACCATACATATGACATTCATAAACAATAAAACTATACTTTTGTTTTAATAATGATTAAATCATCATACTCATGTATCACATAGGTGGAATCATTATGAATAAACAGCCAAACTTAGCGGCACTCACCGACCGGATTGCAGAGCGGCTACTATGTGCCTGGCTCTGGGCTAAACCCGAACCACCAGCTCAGGGGAGCCGTCCGTGGGCTCGGCCGGGCGCTAGAAGCTGGGTCAGAGGAGAAGTGCGGTCTCAAGGCCGTGACCTTTCACAGACAAACGGCCGGCCTGTCCTTCAAGGCACCTCTGGGAGGGGCCAAACCACCAACCGTCTGGTTCATGCGCAAGAGCTTGTTGTCTGCACCATGCAGAGACGGTGCTCATATGTTCGAGGTACAGAATCACGGAAGACAAAGCTCACAGACATGCAACTGTGATGAGATGTGATGTGTAATAAAATAAGGGAATCCATAGGGATAATAGGGGGCAAATGAGTTCGACACTTTTGAGAAAATTAAGAGTTGACGAGGACTGGGCTCAATTCACTTCAAGTGCAGCCACCCCCATCCAATGCCAGAGGCGTGTGTTCTGGAACACGGAACAATGCCCTCTAGACCACAACCAAGGAAGAAGAAAGGCTTGACAAGAAATTTCCAGAAGGCAGCCAATGAAATCACTGTGTATCCCAACAGTCTACAAGGACTCTCACACGTGTTGGCAGGAGCTGAGCCCAAGTAAGTGGGCTGGCAAGAGAATGAGGTGCAAGCGGGAGGCAGGGATCAGATGTGAAGAGCTTTGGGAACTAAATTAACAAGTACAGACCCAACTTAGCAGTAATAGGAACCCAAAGACTTTTAAGCAGCAGAATGGTGGGCTCAGAAGTGGCACACAAAGGGTCAGAAAGACCAGTGGCTCGGGTAGGCTGGGTTGGTCACCTTCTCAACCATTGCCATTGCATTTCTTCCTTGCTAGTAGAATCCAAACTCAGTGATCAGTCTGGTCAGGCTCATTCCCAGCCCCGACCCTAAGGGTAAACTCTGATATGAGGCAACACTAATCCCCATGCTAGTTTCTGCCTTAGGCAAGAGAAAGCACCATGCTGAGCAAGGATACTTGATGGGTAGTCTGCTGGAGTGTGAGGAGAGAGAGGGGAGAGTTAGGATGGTGGTAGAATAGATGGTAGATCTGAAGGAAGAGAGTTAATTAAGGCAGGAGAGACTGAATACAATAAAGACCTTTCTAAGTTAAAAGAAAACCAACCCCAAACTCAGTGCCATCAAGAGGACTGAGATCGTAGTAGAGCTGCCCCCGAGGCGGTAACTCTGTATGGAAGTGGAAAGTCTCTATTCTTCCAGAGTGGCTGGTACTGCTCGAACAGCTGACTGCAGTTAGCAGCCCAACGCATAGTTAGTATGCCACCTGGGTTCCTGGTGTTTAATAACAGTACCCCCCTCTAAAATAGTACATTAGTCAGTACCTCGCTCCAGGATGATTTGTTGACGATTGGTTCTGCATGAGTAATTTTCTTTTCTCTTTGTCCAGTTCAGCTAAGATTGCAACTCTATTTTTATTTTGAAAACCTAAAAGAAAAAAGAACAGAAAGATAAATGAGAAACATTTTGGAGCTATTTTATAAACCTAGGCAATTTATAACCCAGAAAGCAACATTTTCATTTTCTAACATGATCACGGGTGCCCTGGTAGCACTGTGGGCTAGGGGTTCTGTGGTTCAAATCCATGAGTTGCTCCCTGGGAGGAATTTGGCACTGTCTGTCCCTATGCAGGGTCCCTGTGAGTCCGAAGACATTGGTGAGCAGCTCTGGAATGAACACACTAGTAGGAAGTATGGTTTCCCAAGATGGTGACTGTCCCTTATGGTGGATTTCCTGGCAGCTTTAACAGCAGGGCATAACACAACACTAAGGGCTTGTAAGGCTGAGTTCTAATGAATTTTAATCACCAAGATACAGGCTATAAAGCATTTGTTTGTTTTTTCTTTAAAACAACAAAAACTCTGTAGCCCTAAATATTGAAGGGACCAATCTCTAGCCAGTCCTGGGGAGGGCGGATTTCCTTTGATCTCAGTTTTAGGCCTCTTGGGAAATGCTGCTTTCACGAGGGAAAAAGCATTAGATGTACTCTGATTAAATTGTATGTGTGTTTCTTTTTGTCAACTGCTTTCATTCCAAAATTACAGTCTTCCAAGGAACAGAGAATTGCAACCGACAAGAAAGCAATGATGAGGCGTTTTAAGAAGCGCAAACTAGGCAGGGTACAAAGGATGTTTATTACTGAGCTTAATGGTGTCCTTCCTCTTGCCTAAGATTTGGAGCAGAGGTTGCCAAACCATAGGCTAGGAGTAGCATCCAGCTGTTTTAAAATCCTGAATCCAATGCCAACATGACCACATTGGGAGACTGCACACAACATTCCCAGGTCTCTAGCTTACTTGAAACATCTCAAGATCTGGCAACAAGGGATCTAGCTACATGCCCCACGGCAACTAGGAGCTAGAGCTAAGCGATGATTGTCTCAGCTTGAGTTTAGCACTCTCCAGCTTCTTAGAGTCCTGTCATACGCTTCACTTCTTCACTTAGCTGTGTTACTTGCAGGCATCTGAGTTTCCGATCCTAATCTAAAAGAGGAGCCCTGGTGGCGCGACAGTGGTTCATTGCCCTGTGAGAACCAGCCAAATGCACCAGCCATTCCTTGGGGGAACGAGGTGGTGCTCTGCCTCTAGATTACAGCCCTAGAAGCCCCCGTGGGAGCACTTCTGCTGTCACACAAGGGCCCATGAGCCAGAACCTCCTGGAGGACAATGGGTTGTTGTTGCAAACTTACTTAAACTACAAGTTTAAGCTCCCCCAGCAATGAAAACCTGTTGTGCTATAATCCAGGATCAGGTGTACATGTTTCCCCGAAAGTAAGGCATCCCCCCGAAAATAAGACCTCCCCAATAATAAGCCCCCCTGAAGCTACCGTGGACCAAAGAAGCGGAAGCAGACAGTAAGTGCAAGGTCTCTTTCAATCAGCGAGCCCGCGCAGCCGCCAGGACAAGCTGCCCCTGCCGCTCACTCTGCCCTGCTGGAGTCTGGCCGACTCACAATTAGACAGTGAGTCCGCGGGGCAGGCGTCGGGCATATTGTGTGCACGCACAGGGGTGACTGACGTAGGGGGAAATGTCTGATAAAGGGGTGGGGGAGATGTCTGGTGAAGGTGTCCACTGGCACGGGTGGGGGGAGGGGGATCACTTAAAATGGCACTGGGCTATCACTTAAAATGATACAGGAGGATCAGAAGGGGTTACAAAATGGTAATCCTCCCCACCCTCTGATTCTCCTGTCATTTTAAGTGATGCCCCTCCCCCACCCTGATACCCCAGTGTCTTTTTTTTTTCACCCCTAGACATGAGCGCAAAAAGAAAAAGCTACTCCATGGAGTACAAGAAAGGAATCGTGGAAGACTCTTGGGGCCAAAATCTTACTGCTTTCTGCAAAGAGAAGATGTTGAGTATCCGATTGGTCCGAAAATGGCGAGCAGAGTATGGTAACCTCATTGAACAAGTGCACAAGGGAAATGCTAAAAAGCGCAAGTGTGGATCAGGTCGGCAACCGTTATTTTCCGAGCTGGAAGACCTGGTCTGTGAATGGGTTGTTGACAGGAGAGCAAAGGCTTTGGCTGTGAACAGGGCTCAGATTCAAGAATTTGCCCTTGCAATGGCACCACAGTTTGACATAGCCCCTGAAGACTTCAAAGCATCACAACACTGGCTGGATAATTTCCTTCAGCGAAGTGAACCGTCTTTAAGAAGATCCACAACTACTACCGTACCGTATACAGGTAATACATTTCCTTTTTTTGTGTCAAACAATAAATGTGTACCGTATTCTTCTTCATGGAAAAATAAGATATCCCCTGAAAATAATACCTAGCGTATCTTTGGGAGCAAAAATTAATATAAGACACTGTCTTATTTTCGGGGAAACGGTAGGTTTGTGCTTTTGCAGCGCCCCACACTGCATCATTCCAGTGGTCCCCCTGAGGGTGATATTACCCACTTTGGTAAACACTGCTCTACAGGAGAACAAATAGAAGGATTAGAGAACTGGAAAACAACTATTGGGGGCGAGTAAAGAGTTCAGGGAATTAGAATCACTGGGATCATTTACTGGGCTACGAGAGAGAATAAAGAGAGGAGACGATGTTCTCCTAGCAGGGCAGATTCTCGCCACAGGCAGCCTGCATTAGGTGTTCGCATGCCAAGCGCACCCTCATGACGGAGCGATTAAGAAGGGAGACGTGTGAGGACGCGCATGTCCTTTTCTGCTGGGGGAGAGGCAGCACAGGCTAGACAAACAAGAGCATCCACTCACACCGATGGCTCTTGCTAGAAGGGGCTGCGGCACGGAACTCTGAAAGTCTGGACTTAGAGACAGGTTAACACTAGAGGACTCTCCGAGATGATGCTCCATGAGACCTGAACCAAAACTACCTGCAGGCCACTTTTTCTCTAAATAACAGACTGGGCCAGAAAATAAGGACTATTACTAGCCAGAACTGCGTACTTCTGAAAATGTTCAACAGTTCATCTAAAGCAAGGATAAAAGGGTAAACAGACAGGGAAAACAAATTACCGGAAGACATCCAGATGGGAATTAATGAGAATGTTCACATGTTGTGAAAATTGTGACCATTGTCTCTGAACAATTTGTGTAGTGATTGTTAAAAGGAAACCTAAATTGTTGTGTAAACTTTCACCAAAAACACAATAAAATCTATTTTTAAAGTTTATTCTATGCTCTACTCTCATTTTAGTTGACAAGGTCGTCTCCGTGGGAGGGCTAGCAGGGTGATTCCTGGCAGAGGAAGTTCATGAGTGTCCAATGAAGAGAAAGGGTGATACTACGTGAAGAGACTGGGGGGTTGTAACATAGTCTGTCGCTGCAGTGGCTAGGGTGCTGAAGAAGGGTTGGTCTCTAATCCCATCCGTCACTAACAGGAACCAGAGTGCTGGGAGAAGGACCAGTTTCCCGTCTTCAGTCAGGGAAAGAAACCAAAATGGGTCTACATTACCTCGTTGTGAGCGAGAGAAAAGAGGTCCAGGGTAGAGCTAAAAAGATGAAAGGAACCAGTTTGAAGATAGCCAACCATGATTGGAACACTTTTGGGAAAATAGCAATTAATGCTAAATGGGAAAAATTGAGTCTGCGGAAAGCCATGCATTCATAATGATACACAATCGGGAAAGTTTCAAGTACTCATAAAAAGAAAGTTTGAGGAGCTGATACTAAGGGCTCAAGTAGAACCCATCAAACTGAAGCCAAGGTTAATCTGAATCTTGTTTTATTTTGACTACCACCCTAAGAGCAGAATACGGACAATATCGTGGGCTGTCAGAAGAACAAACAAATCGGTCTGGGAGAAGCACTGCCAGAAGGCTCTGAGGAGAGACGACGGCGAGCCTGCGGCGTCTCCAGTACTTTGGACAGGATGCCAGGGAGCCCCGCTCCTGGAAAAGGGCGTCATGCTGGGTGACGCGGAAGGCCCTCACGGGGCGGACTGAACAGCGGCGATGGCAATGGGCTCACACGGCACAACAGGCGGAGGGCGCAGGACCGCGCAGCGCCCATCTGTTGCACGTGGGCTGCTGTGAGTGGGAGCCGGCTCGATGACACCTCACAACAAAGGGAACTGAAATCACACTTTAAAAATGTTTAATGTTGAAAACATTATAGGTTTAACAAATTGAGTATTAACTGAATTACAAGCAGTGAGGAGTATTTCTCTCCATGCCCCAAATCCCTTTATGTATTAAAGAACAACAAAAGTAGGAAACAGAATGCGTGGGAATTGGCAATACATCCATGTGACTCCAGCACAAATTATGTGTGATAAGAGTAATGAATGCAGGAACTGAAAAGGGGAGGAGGCGGCAGATAGTTAAGATACTGAGTACAACATACTACATACCACCTCACTTTTTCTCAAGGGGGCAATGAAGTGCACTGACGGCACGTAGAAATGGACAGGGCACCGTCAATCTTACGCATCATTTACAACATCTGCTACTAGTAACTGGAGACTAGGTTCCAGGGTAGAAGAGAAATCAGTTAGCCATGGGTCAGAGATGGGCAGTGGAACAGAGAAGAGAGAGTAACTCAAGAAAGAACGCAAATTAAAAAAAAAAAACTGGCATGAAAGGACTGGGTGACTTCAAGGTCCTTAGCTCTCAAGTCGGTTTCTACCCCCACGGAATGTCATAGCTGCTAGGAGTGTGTGAACCACACTAGATGTCTAACAATGTGATTGAAGGTGGAGATTGAGTCACAGGTACCGCCAGAGAGGCTTAAAAGCAGCCAGAGAAACAGCCAGCCAGAGCTATACGACTGAGCCTCAATATAACTGGCCACGAAGCCTTGGGTGAGCTTCGCAACTACTTCATGGATGACGCCGGCCACACCTAGTTGCTGAGAAAGTTAATACTGTTCAAGTCCCCGGGAGAGGGCAGCTAGCTCCCCAAGCGGAACTCCCCTCGGTCTGCTCCTTCCAGGCCCCTCTCCCCTGGCTGACTTTACTCCGTATCCTTTCACCACAGCCCCCCCCAGGAGTAAGTGAAGCAGCTTTCAGTAAGTGCCAGGAGTCCTTCCAGCAGATTACCAAACCCCAAACTTGTCTTGGCAACTCCTAAACTTACAACTGGTGTCAGAGATGAGGTCATTAATATGAGGGAGCTTCAAATAGTTCACCAAAAATATTCACTATCTTTCTTCTACAAACTCTGTGATACATCCTCATAGGTAACATTTAGCAACTGCTAATTTATATTTTATACTCACCTACCTGAATGAAGCTTAACTTCATATAGTTTCTTACCATAATTTAATGTGTCTTTATTTTCAGATGTGTAAGAGTCTTAAAGATGTTTCCTCTATTACCTCATGTACCACAGGAATCACTTAATATCCTTTAATAACTAGCCTTTTTCGTAATAAAATCATCTTAGAAAAAAACAGCATGCTCTAAAAATATTTCCACTTAGAACTCTCGCCTTATCTCTATTGACAATCTTATACATTCACATTCCAGCACTCCTATTCATTCATAGAAACATTAACTCCCACACAGTTCTTTGTCACTGAACACACTTTCAAGAACCAGCATTAGATCACATTGTATTCAAGCCTACGAGCTGATAGTCACTTTGTCCAAACAGCTGTATCATACCTAGACCAAAGACTAACAGGAATTCTTTTTATTGAAAAACAAAAACCTAAAACTAAAGAGTGATAATTATGATGTTTGATTAGTGTGATTATGAATGTGTTAGTCTGGGTAGACTAGAGAAACAAATCCATGGACACACATGTGTATAAGAAAGAGATTTAAATACAAGGGCAACTGAACATTGAGGAAACACCCCAGCCCAGTCCAGATCAAGTCCATAAGTCCAATATTAGTTCATTCATATGTCTGATACCAATCTATAGTCTTTAGACTCACGAAACACATGTAATGACGTCAAATGTAGAAGATCACAGGCCAGTGGGTAGAAAGTCCTTGGATCCAGTGCCATTGGAAACATCTCAGCACTGGCAGGGTCTCTGCATCAGGGTGGGTCCACGTGTCTTGTCAGCTGCTGTCTCCCAGGGTGTGAGCAGTCTTCCACCTCCAAGGAGGAAGGACCAGATTTCCCAGAATTCTCAGAGAAGGCCACGCCCACACAGAGGCCTCATTGGCTATGATCAGATTGACAGACTAGGCTCCACCCCTTCACTCTTAATCCTCTCAAATGGACAGTTATATAACTACCACAATGAATAATCCAGTTGTTATATTGCTTTGAAAACAGACGTTTTTAAAAAAAGGTATTATCTATGTATATTCAAGAAAAGTTGCTACAGTACTATTAGCTTAAGATGTTTTAGGCTATATATTAAATCAGCATGTATTGATTGTGTGCTCATTCCATATAGACACTAAATTAAACTCTAATATGTCAACTCTTGACACGATGTTGGATCTCAAAAAGTTCAGAATCACAAATGAACGTCTAACTTGATGAATAATTTTTAAATATGTAGATGAATAATAAGAAATAAAGGCCATTCTATGAACATTTATATCTGTCACTATTATAGGAATATGGCATGAACTTAGCCTCGTCTGGACAGTAGGAGCCCTGGTGGTACAGTGGTTACACGTTGGGCAGCTAACTGCATGGCCAGCAGTTCAAAAACCACCAGCTGCTCAGAGGGAGAGACGCCCTGGGCCTTCTACACCAGTACGAGTTACAGTTTCAGAAACCCACACTGAGGCAGTTCTACCCTGTCCTATAGGATCACTGTGAGTTGGCATCGCTTCGTGTCAGTTGAGTGTTGGATTTGGTTCATCTAGAAGTGATGCGTGAGCGGAAACCTAAAGGATAAATACGTTAACGAGGTTACTAAGGGTGGTGGGGGGGGAGATAACAAAATGTCCCTTCCCTTACCAAGCTCATGGCAGTGTGCAGAAGACTGGTGCTATGAAGTGCTATGGAGTGGATTCTGACTCCTGGCAACTTTCCAGGACAGAGTCAAACGGCTCCATGGGATCTAGGAGGCTGAAGTTTTTATGGGAAAAGATCGTTAGACCTGCTCTCCCATAGAGAAGCTGATGCTTTAGAACCACCAAACTTGGTTAGCAATCGAGCACTTACCCATTGTGCCATCAGGGTTCATTGAGACAAGAGAGTGCTACCGTAGAACAATCGACAAATGAGGGACATTTATAGTGGTGACGGGAACGAGGAGTCATGGTCAGATCCAAGGGCTGTCTAAGAAGTTCAATCAGCAGGACCTTCTGATGGGTTGACGCCAAGGTGAAGGACTCATGGATGGCTCCTAGAGTGCTGACTCACACAGTGTAAGTGGTTTAACAAATGATCACAAATGCTTTAAAAACAAAGCAAATGCATTCCCTGAAGGTGTGTAGGTTAGAAGTCCAACACAGGTCTCGATGGTGTTTTCAGGGCTGCTTTACTCTCTGCAGGCTCTAGGTCTGAGGCCCCCCACATTCCTTGGTTCGTGGCTCCCATTCTCCATCTTCAAAGCTAATACCGCTACATATTTCTCATCTTTGTTGAAGCACACATCTCTGATCACAGTCACTGCTACAGAATTTGTACAATCAGACTTAACCCCTTGGGTTCTCCAGGATTGTCTTCTTTCACGGTCCTTGTCTTTAAGACTGGGTTCTCTAGAGAACCAAAACCAGTGACACACAGCGGGGCTTTAACATTTTTGAAGAAAAACAGAATTAAAAGGTAGGGAATTTGTACACCAGCTTTTTGAATCGTGTGTGTGTTTGTGTAGAGAGTGAGTGGTCTCCCTTAAGTAAATAGTTCAGTAGTTCACATAGTTACAGAGGCCAGCAAGTCCCAAGTTAATGGTCCAGGCATCAAAGGGGAGGCTTTTCCTGACTGGAGCTGCTGCTGGAGCTACTGAATCAAAGCTGGAAGCTGCTGGCTGCAGAGACTTCCCGATCAAACAGGCACGTAAGGTGAACCGCTGGCTTGCAGAACTGATGACTGAGAAATCCCAATATAAGCAGGTAAGATGATCAAATTTGGATGTAGGGTCCAGAGCAAGCAAGCAAACTTTCCCAGAACATCCATATATACAATGGATGTAGCCCACACACTGGGGAAATTCCCTTTATAGGAGATTGGCTGATCACATCAAGGTTGTGATAGCATCATTACATAATTGCCAGATTACATCATTACTTAACTGCCAAGCCACTTTGGCCTAGCCAAAGTGACACACTAACACCGTCTTTAGTCTGATCGCATATGCCAAGTTCCTTCGGCCATGTGAGGTAACATATTCAGATTCCAGGAATTAGAACATGAAAATCTTTACGGGCCATTATTCTGCTTATGCACTCTAACTATACATGAAATGGAGACTGAGACTGCCTGAGGTCTAAATCCTGGCCAAAACATGTAATAATAATACATACATATAAATAATCAACATTAAATTAACATCAATTAATTAGTCTTGTAGGTATCTATTTAATGACAAATACATCTGATATAAGATTAAAAGCAATTCAACCCTTACTAACCTTTTGGAATTTATTGAAAATAATTACCAAAGGCTATGCCCTGGTTTCTGTTCACTACATGAGCTGTGTTCTCTCACCCTTATAGGCTAATAAGCTAATAAGACCCTTATAAGCTATTGTCCTATTCACTGACGTTAAATGATAAAAAAAAATTTTTTTAATCATTTTATTGGGGGCTCTGACAGCTTATCAGAATTCATCCATTGTGTCAAGCACACTTGTACATATGTTGCCATCATAATTTTCAAAACATTTTCTTTTTACTTGAGCCCTTTGTATCAGCTTATTTCCCCCCTCCCTCCCCAACCTTTCCTCCCCTAAAGAACCCTTATAATAATAGTTTATAAAACATTATTTTTTTCATGTCTTATACAGACCGCTGTCTCCCTTCACCCACTTTTCTGGTGTTCGTTCCCCTGGGGTGCGGGGGGTGTTATATGTCAATCATTGTGATCGGTTCCCTATTTCTCCTCTCACCAATATTTTCTTCTTAAATAAACCTTTCCTCCTCATTGATTTTTCTTTTCTTCTTATAGATAAATTCATCTGTATAAGTTTTCCACTTCATAGCAGATGCAGACAAAGGTATGATGTTTAAGAACCCCTTTATCTGAAGCTCTCAAGTTTTTTTCGTAGATGCCTTTCCCCCTCGGATTCTGGTCTTTCAATATGGTCGAATAAGAATGCTTTCACCCTGCAGCTGAAGGGCACGGTGGGAAAACAAAGTGCACAAGGGACTTGACATGAGTCAGCCAAGGGGCTTATCATGCCACTTACGAGTTAATGCTGGGAAAATTACGCCATGCCTCCTGACCAGTGGAGATAATTAGCCACCTCAAAGAAATATAAAACATGCTGGACCTCTCCTCCTTGGGGCTTTGGGGGTCTCTTTCCCCTTTGGCCAGAAGAGGCGGCCCAGATGAGCCTGGAGGGTCACCGTGGGGCCGCTGTGATCAGGGAGCCCCGACATGCCCAGCATCTGGCAGGCAGCGTGGCCCAAGCAGGCCAAGGCCCAGTGGCTTTCCTGGGCCACTGACTTGCCCCGCTGGGGGGGAGGTGGCGCAGGCACACCCCGGGAGACACCTGCTGCCTATTGCTTTGGCTCCAGCAGATATTACGGTGAAGGTGGGGTGTCCAGAAGGGGGCTTTTCTGATTGAAGAGAAGTGGTGGTGTGGAGGCCACCTAAGGAGTGCAGCCACGTCACCAGGTGTCTCCCGCACAGAAAATAAATCAATAAAACATGCAAGTAACACTTGACAGGTGCTTATTAAATATGTACTATTATTGTTACTACACATCTGTACTGGAGACGTGAGTTCCATTCCTAGCCAGCACACCTCATGCGGAGCCACCAACCACCTATCATGGAGCTTAGCTGTTGCTATCATGCTGAACATGGCAGGCGTCAGCTTCTGCAAAGATTGACAGTCTTGGAAATCCCCGAGGGGCAGAGTTCTAGTCTGACCCTCAGAAGTCCCTCAGTCCAAATTAGCTCAGTGGCTACAAATTTGGTTTCTTTTAAAAAATATCTCAGTACAAGCATGGCTTGCAGTTAATTACTTAATATGGTCCTTTTAGCCTTAATCTTAGGGGCCCCGGTGGTTGAGTGGGTGGGTTACACAACGGGCTGCTAACCACAAGGTCGGCAGTTCAAAACCATATGCTGATCTGAGGGAGAAAGATAAGATGTTGTACTCCCATGAAGACTTTCAGTCTGTGAAACCCCTACGGCGATGAGTTTGAGTTTTGAGCCTTGAACTTCCCTTTTGCCATTGTAATTCTACCCTCTGCACCAGTCGTTCTAATCCCAACTTGGAGGAAATTCTGTTATGCTAATGAACGGGGTTAAAGTGGGATACTGTTTAAGTTCCCACTTTACTAGGTGTGACACGTCACCATCCCTTTTTCCTTGGGAGTATGGTCTGCAACAGGCAAAAGCCACGTGCCATCAAAGTCATCTTTGTGAGCTGAGCATGCAGAGAAGCAAGTGAGCCTTGCTTTTACTTCTGGATACATTGCTTCTTGCTCTGACTCTGGCCTAACCTCTGGTTCTTGGGACTTGAGTTTCAGTCCATCGCCTGACCTGACTTCACCAGCTTCTGCAGCCCTGTGGATGAGGGAGATCATCCAGAGGAACTTCAGATCTAGAACTTCCCCGCACCCACATCCGCCTGACCCATTTCCTGGGTGAGTTCCGTGAGACACTGCAGCGCACATGAGGGCATCTACTAAGGGGAGGAGTGGTGGCTGAGATTAGGGATAGCGGGTGGTACCACAATTTGAAAACCTCAGGCATTCAGGACACCTTGCACCCCACCTCACTGGGACTAGCCTGCAAACCCTGTAGTTCATTTGTCTTCCTTCTGGACCAAAGATGGAGTAATAAAGTCAAACAAGATGTCCCCAGACAACATTCCAATCACTTCCTACAGAGTACCCTGAAATCACAGCTAAGAGGCCCCAGATTAACCCCAATTAGTAGCTTCCTCAAACCAATAGTTTCACACCTTGATCCACAGCTCTTGGTACTACTACAACCACTGAGAGAACGAAAAAGAACCTCGATATTTACCAATAACGAACAGTCTGTGTCACCTGACACAATGCAGTCCTTTGGTCAAATTCCAGTTGGATAATCTACTTCTACGTATCAAAATTCTCAAAATGTTATTTCCTATCAATCCCGTAGTTACTGAGAACTTAAAAATGCTCCATACTACATTAGATGCAGTAAAGAGTATGAGACTTCAGTATAAAATACTGCTAGATCTAAGAGGGCTTAGTTAATACAATGGGTTTCTGTCCCCCACAGCACAGAAAATGATAAACTTATATACCCACTCCTCACTCACTGACATGGTTAGTTTTCATAGAGTGGAACTGAAGGAAATCGGCATTACGCAAGAGTTTTAGACCGTGCTTGTGTGGCCGGCCTCCCTCCCGACTACTGCGGATCCTGCGGAGATTGAAGGTAGTGGTGGTCAGGTGACGCCTGCTTCCTTCCTGCTTGTCTACCCTGGCCAGGGACCTCCATGTTCATCCTCTGTCCATCCTAGCCTTACAGCCCCCGTTCTTCTTTCCCCCTTTGCCTCCCCAAAACAACCTCCCTTACACCTCTAGATCCTTGCCTGGCCTCCCCACACACCCACGACCTCGCACTGTCCCACCATCACCCCATACCCTCCATGACCAGAATGAGATATCACGGACAAACAGAAGATGACCCAGGACTGGTCTGACACTATCCTTCACATGGCCTGGACATCACCAGGACCTCAGATCAGATCTACAAGGTACCTGGATCATTGCCAACGCAGCCTGAGAAATTTTTAAGGTTGTAGTAAATGTGAAATGTCAGATAATGGGATAGTTGATAAGTGAGAAGTAGGTATATATAGGCCAAAGTTCTTTTTAATTAATAGTTCTCCAGTTATTTTAATTATGGACCTTGGCATTTAATCTCCATATTAAATAGCTCAGGTATGCACATATAACAAAAATAATTGGGTGCATAAACAAATGTAGTGAAGAAAGCTGATGATGCCCAGCTATCAAAAGATATTGTATCTGGGGTCTTAGAGGCTTGAAGGTAAACAAGCAGCCATCTAGCTGAGAAGCAACAAAGCCCACATGGAAGAAACACCAGCCTATGTGATCACGAGGTGTTGATGGGATCAGGTATCAGGCATCAAAGAACAAACAATCATATCATTGTGAATGAGGGCGAGTGCAGAGAGGGGGCCCAAGACCCATCTGTAAACAACTGGACATGCCCTTACAGAAGGGACATGGGGAGGAGACGAGCCAGTCAGGGTGCAGTGTAGCAACGATGAAACATGCAACTTTCCTCCAGTTCTTAAGTGCGCGCGCTCTGCCCCGCCCCAACATGATCCCAATCCTACCTTACAAATCCAGCTAGACCAGAGGATGTACACTGGTACAGATAGGAACTGGAAACACAGGGAATCCAGGGCAGATGAACCCCTTCAGGACCAGTGGTGAGAGTGGTGATACCAGGAGGGTGGAGGGAAGGTGGGGTAGAAAGGGGAGAACCGATTACAAGGATCTACATATAACCCCCTCCCTGGGGGACGGACAACAGAAAAGTGGGTGAAGGGAGACGTCGGACAGTGTGAGACATGACAAAATAATATTAATATATAGATTATCAAGGGTTCATGGGGGGGGGAGCTGATACCAAGGGCTCTAGTAGAAAGCAAATGTTTTGAGAATGATGATGGCAACAAATGTGCATGACACAATGGATGGATGGATGGCTTGTGATAAGAGTTGTACAAGCCCCCCAATAAAATGATTTAAAATAATAATAATTTGGTATAGAATCAAGTACAACATTCAAATAAATTAAATCTAAATAAATTGAAAACTAAAAAGCATAGAACATGATATGGACTCCCTCTGCTGGTTCATAATAGCAATATCTCCCTGACACCAACAAAACCATTGAGAAATAGCAACAAAAGGCAAAGGATTCGTCTCAATTCACTTCTATTTAAGGATGTTTCTATGTGAATTTGTGCACCAAGCAAAGACAACACTAAAAACGACTGCATTTTGTTGCAACTGCTTAAGTAACCAGCAAATTATACATGTTAATTATTGCTACTACTAGAACAGAGGGATGATTTTTAATGTTTTACTTGTGGGATTTCTCCCAAGTTGTTTCCCCCAAATATATGCCAAACCCAAGACGCTGCTTGCTACACATGGTCAATGACTGTACACGAGGAGGTCAACGGAAGTAGGTCAGAGGTTCTTCTCCTTAAGGGTATCTAGAGCAATCAGACTGTACAGTCTGGCAGAAGGCAAGCCCGGGACCACTCATGGATGACTAAGCTTAGGCTACTATATTGAGTCTAGGGTCGAGCCATCAGGCCACATGTGTACCCCTATTCCCTCCCTGTATTACTGCCGTGTGCACCCCCTCCTATTGCTTCCATTGCCTATGTTACAACTCCTTCCTATGACGTACATTGTTATCTGTAATCAGAGGGCTTGCATGCCCCCAAAGATCTATAAGCTTTGGTTAGAAACAAAACCTCACGAGAGCTCTCCTGCCCGTTCATCCCCCACCTCCGTGTGGACCATCAAGAGGAGCTGAGGCGAGCATGCTACCATGAAATGTGTCTGGCTTCTTTATTTTACTCTTTCCCATCCCTCCTATTTCGCTTTGACTTTACTATAATCTTTATGTATCTTAACCGTACCATTGCGCCGACCGAACCCGTGGTAGTTGTGGGGGGCTGGCTCCCCCACCTTTACTTAGACTGCACTGTATACTTTTAAGTAGCATGTTTTCTTTCCAAGTCAGACTTTTCTTAAGTTTTGGAGGGTTGTGACCCGAGATGAGTCCAACAGAGCCCAAATCACAGAAGGTCGAGTGAGCTGAGGACAATACTATCAGTTGTTTAAAGGTACTATAGATTTAAAAATAATATTATGCAATAAAATTCATACAAGCTTTTAGTTCATTGCAAAAATGCCATGTGTACTCAAAACAGAATCAGCCTGCTTCTAGCTTCCAGAACTAGAGGGATAGTTTTTCTTAGACTAACCCTGGTTCACAAATAATTATAAATCCTGTACAAAACATTTTTAAATCGCTATCTAAAAACAATGGAGATTGACCAAAATCAAGCAGAAACTGTAACTGGTATGATTTGAGGCCTTTGAATACCTTTATAACTTGAGAAGGGGTGCTCAGAGTGTCCAGACAGTTAGGGCAGAAACCCAAGAAGAAAAGAGAGAAAAAGTAAAGTCTAAAGCATGCATATATGAGGAAACTTCAAAAGGTTCATGGAAAAACGATGTGGTAGCAACTGTACAATACGCTTGATGTGACTGAACTATGGGATGGTATGACGTGTGTATTAGCTCCCAATAAAACAGTTTTGAAAACAAAAAGTTCATGGAAAAGTAGAAATGAAGAGAGACTGGACTTCCCCCACAAACTTCATAAAGTCCCT